GTTCTAATTTTTTTTTTTGGGGGGGGGGGGGTTCCAAAATTCTATATTTCTTGTTTAACCAGTTATTCTTAATTAATTTTTTGAGAAAAGTTTAAAAAACAATTCAGTTTTTGCTAATTTTTTATGGTTGACCTTCTACTTTTATTTTAAAAATTTAAAAGATATAAAAAATAAAAGTCTTTGCAAAAGTTTCTTTGCGTATAAAGTTACACAACTTTTTTTTCGTTGCGTTTTAGAAAAAAACAGTTTAATCTGAAGTCTTTTTCAAAAAAATGTTTTAAATTAGTAAAACAACAGATTACTTCAAAAAAAAAGTTTTATCTGAAGTCTCTTTCTAAACAAAATGTTTTAAGTATTCAAAAAGACAGATTGCTTCAAAGTATCTTAATTTCCTTTTTTTTATTTATTTTTTAATTGTTATTCAAGCTATCAAGGAGGCTATTCAAGATTTCTTTTTTTTTTTTACTTTTCTTTGTTGAAGTCAAGAATAAATCTTCTTTTTATGTGCCAGTCAGTAGAAGTTCAGTTAAATTCTAAAGTTTTAACAATTCTAAAGATAAACAGTTAGTATAAAGGAACACCGCTACCTAAAAGGCTTTATAAAAAACAAACTGGGTAATCAACTTTTGAAATTTTCTGCTTTACTCTAAAACGCAGTGAATAGCTTGTTAAAAAAAATTCTAGAAGCAGTTAATAAGTATACCTCAAAGAGGTTGAATGATTGTATCATTCTTGCTAAAATATTTTGGCAAGAGTTAGCCTCAGGACTTCAAAAAAGAGAAAAGTATTATGTGTTTGGTTGATGATGGAATATGATTAGTATTAACTTTCTAATTAAGTTGTTGCAGTTGGAAAGCTTTGGAAAAAACCATTTAATTTCAACAGTAGATGTATACTTAATTATTTAAACCATATAAAAAAATGAAAATGAATTAAAAATAGAGAATTATTGTCCAATTATTTGTCCAAAAAGTTGAAACTATGGAATATAGTTGAAACGAGCTACAAAAACAAATGGATAACAATGGAAGAGTAGCAAACTTTATATCAGGTGTGCAAGATGAGTTCTATATTAGCTTGATTAAAGTTACAAAGCAGCCCATTTAGCTGTGAACTAGACATTATTGAAGTAGATAGAGATATGTTAAAATGAAAAAAAAGTTCAAAAAAGGAGGTTCTTTATTTTAGGGATACAATGTAGGTCATTGTCGCAGAGGTCTATTCTGTTTAAATACATGATTGTTGATATAAAAATACAAACCTCCATCTTATGTCTACCAAAGAACACGCTCATAACCTAGGTGTTCTATAAGGAAAGTTCACGCAGCTCTATCACATATGATGACTTTTTTAGTTATTTTCCATTTTCAATAGTAAATAACAAACTGTATGAATTATTTTCATATATAATGCTTAATTTTTTTTGTTACTTATAAATAATAAGGTATATTATTGATAAATTAAACAGAAAAAGATTTCTAGTTTTTTACTTTTTTTATATTTAATGAGAATAATAATTTCATCCATTTTTAACAATGCCTTTTTTTGTCAATATATTCATTTTTTATTTAAATCGAAGTAGAAGTCTAAATAATTAAAATGAAAAAAAATAAAAAACAGCATAAAAAACTAATTAAGAAAAGTTAGTTAAACTATAAAAAATCTAAAAAAAGACGATTATGGACCCCCCTACTAATATGTATAATAAATACAAAAAAGAAAATTATATATAAATAAATACAATGTTCTATGTAATATAATACAATATATTATATCAAGTAGAACATTGTATTTGTTTATATTTATATATATATATATATGTATATATATATATATATATATATGTATATATATATATATATATATATATATATATATATATATATATATATATTTATTTTTTATTCTGTTTATTAAATAGAACATTTTATTTATTACATTTGTAGATAGAACAAGATAATACTGAGAGGGCGATTTATTAAAACTCTAAATAATCATTTTTAGTAGCATTTTTTTCATTGTGCTATAGTATCTAAATTTAGGAAACATTTAATGAAACATACTAAAATTTTAGACTGGTAAAAAGAGAGAGCTCATGGCTACCATGAGCTAGCAGAGTTAAGTCTTATGTACCTGGACCAAACCATATCTGCAAATTTAAGAAAATCTGGTGCTATGCACCATGTCAGATTCATGGCCAAACTTATTTATTACATGAAAATTTTCCTTAAAGGTTCTGTGCAAAAGCATATAGGTCTGGGTTCAGCTCTCATCACCAGGATGAGCAAGTTTATTGCTATCTTCTATGCACTCAAGTTTCTGACTAATGAAAAACCAGGCATTGCTCCGTTACAGGTATTCAAGCAAAACATTAATATTAGGTTTTAAAATAGAGTGCTACTAAGTTTCATACATTAAAACTATATAATTATAAAATTACAAAAATATATCATTTTTTCTTTATCAGGACTTGAATTCTATTAGGAAGCTGTCCAGGTGTGTTGAGAATGAAACTGCTGCAAGTGCAGTGTTCAAATCATAGGAACCATAACTGGTACCTGGATCCAACTGTTGTTCAAATTGTGCTGGCAAATTCAGATGATTCAATCACTGAACAAGAAAAGAAGATGATCATCAAAAAGCTCCATAGCATACCCATACCAAATGACATGAATGAACATAACAATAAAGGTTTCTTAGATTTTAGGCCGTGAAAAAACTCCAAATGGATGGTTTATCCAGCTAGCTCCTGGAATATCAATTTTGATTATTTGGAGTTCCAGTCGTATGTCAAAAACTTGGCTTTCGTTAATGATTGCTGGGAACGGGCTGTAAAGCTGGTACAGTGTGTCAAGTTTAGTCTGAGTATAAGCTGGAAAAGCTGCTCAAATTCAAAAACAACTAGACCGTGCTTTCCTTAAAGATCAAAACTGCCTACCGCGAATAAGCTGAACAGAAAACACCAGCTCAACTTTTGAAAGAGTTTTCTGTCATAGAAGATGTAAATGTATTCAGCTTCTGTGAATACTGAACCAGATAGCAGCACTGATTTGTTTCCTGATGTTAACGCTGTAGAACAACTGTTTGGTGACCATGAGGCTGCTAATGACAGCTAGTTAATTATTTTTTCGTTAATTTTTGTTTAATGCTTTTTTACCGATGTTTGTTCATTATTAAAAAGAGATTGAGTGGGGAAGGTTTCCCCACTCAATCTCTTTTTAATAATGAACAAACTCTTTTTAATAATAAACAGTGTCTTTTCCTCCTTCTTTTTTTTTTCTTTTTCTTTTTTTGTTTTGTTTTTTTTAGGCATTTAATCAAAATTGCTAATTATTTTGTTTCTATAAATTATTTAAGCATACATAAAAGAAATCAGAGTTCTATTTTCATTAGAAGACCCACTGCCAAAAAAACCTGGATTTCATTGATTGATTGATTGACTTCTAATTTCTCCCTGTGTTTTTGATGGTTTTATAATTTTTAGCTTTTTTAAAAATCTTTTTATTTGTTAAAGTGTATAATATCATTACATATTTTTGTATATAATGTCAAAAAAATTAAAAAAATAAAATCGCCATGGTAGGTCTTGAATGACGGTTTGCTCAGGAGCTCTGCACACTAACCACTGAACCACGCTGGCATGTCAACTAACGAAATTTTAAAACCAATTTTTCTTTTTAACGGAAATAAATGCTACAGATCAAAATTAAGGAGAGGTTGAGGCAATGCAATTTTCAAGTGAAAGTCAAACTGTAAAACTTGATTTATGTTTAAGTATGTTTAAATTTAATAATTTGAAGTTTCCGTATGTTAGATATTTGCATACACTTTTGTTTACACTTTTTATAAAACAGAGTGCTGCGACTCTTTCTCGCTATTACCTCAGTTGCAATGACTGCCAAGAGTTTTGTGTTAAACACGCACAAATGAGCAATACTACTACTACTACTACTACTACTACTACTACTACTACTACTAAGTTCAGCAATAATATACAGTGATTATGAAAAAATATTTCAAAATACAATTCAAATCATACAAAATTAGTTCATTATAAAACATGATAAATTACAATACACAAAGGTTGTTCAGGTGTTCACTAGTACCAGACCCCCCTTCCTCCTTCCCCTGTGAGCAAGGATTACCAGAATAGTCTGTCTCTTACAAACCAGATCAACTGATTGCCATCTAGCATACAGTCATCAAAATTGTGAGGCTTGCATTTTAAAAAATGTAAAAACTCATTTTATCAAAGTTAAAAAAAATGGTTTTAAATTTATTTAGTATTAGTTGTGTTTAAATCCAGTCGATATTAGAAAATAAAATAAAAAATATTCTTAAAAATATTTGGGTGGGACACCCCAGTATCCAGTACCCTAATATTTAGTCAAAATAAAATTATGTTACATTGTTTTTGTAAAAATATTAACTCTTTATAAACTATATTTGTTTCCCACCTCTTTATGTGAATCTTTTACTTTCTTATGTGTATCTCCCTCCACTTTTTGTGTATCTCGCCTCTTTATGTCTATTTCTCACTATGTTATGTAAGTCACCACCACTTTATGTGTATTTCCAACTAGACTATGTACCTCTTACCTTTTTATCTTCAATGTCCTTGTGTGCATTTTAAAAAAATATATCAAGGATCAACTTTTATTATTTATTTTTTTTAATAATTTACTTATAACTTAAAATAAAATCTAACATAAATCAAATTTTTGTTCCTTTAGAAAAAAAAAAGTATCAAAGTATCCAACTAATCTTTAATCTTTGTCCTTTTAATTTAAATCTTCGTCCTTCTAATCTTTAATTTTTGTCCTTTTAATCTTTAATCTTCGTGCTTTTCTTGCATCTTTTAAGGTTTAAGGGGGGTGTTTTACATACCATAAGTATTTATTTTATATAAAATACAAAATTAAATTATTAATATCAAAACCCTCTCTTTTGACATTAATAATAATAAAGTTGGTTAGATACATGCACATTTAATTGTTTAGGAAAGTGATATTCGAGAAGTAAATAATGCTGATCTTTATTATAACAAAGCAGTGGTATGCGCATTTATAATTTATGCAAACTTTTTTTTTAATTATAATTTATTATTGAAAATTATTGCTGTGAAACTAATTTTTTTTCCAGTTTTTTATTTGTATTATATAAGAAATTTTATTGTACAAAAAACTTTAGCACCTTAGTTGATTTCAACTTAAAGTTGCTAGTTGATCAAATAGTTTATTTAATTTTAAAATGAAAATTATTATTCACCTATATATACCGAAAATAAATATAATCAAAATAATACTAATTTAAACATTTATTCATCAAAAAAATATCTTAAAATTATTATAGGTTTTGAAATTTCAAGAACTTTATGAAGAAGCTCTTAAGTGCTACAAAAAATCTAGTTTGTTGGCTCCTTCCTGGAACGATCCTAAAGAGAATATAGTTGATCTGCACAATAGATTAAAAACGACTGTTGAAATGATTGAAAACAAGGTATGAATTACATCAAAGTTTTAAAGTATACGTGTTTTATAATTTTGGTCCTAGATTTTAGATTGAGTTTGGCTTAAATTTTTCCAGGCTTCACACAGTTACTAAATAAAGATCTTATAATGAAAATCTTAAAATCTGCAAATTATATACTTTTAGAGTTTTCTAATATACACTTTTAACATAATCCACTGTTTTATAACATAACCCATCATGTTTTAACATGATCCATTGTTTTGTAACATAATTCATCATCTTTTAACATGATCCATTGTTTTGTAACATATTTCTTCATAGGTCTTAATTATGGCAGCTTTTTCGTGCGTGCTTTTTCATCAAATGATTTTTGTGGGCAGAGTAGGACTGGCGAGGGGGTTGGGGTTCCCCCATCCCCCAAGTCTCTGCTATGTTTGGGCCTCTCTCTATTTTATGGGCCCCTAAAAAAGGTACCTTTAAAAATAAAAAGGTCCTTGACATGTCCTTTTATATATAAGGCGGTCCTGCATCTATGTCCCCCCCTCCCTCCGGGCTTCTAAATGCCAGTCCGACCCTGTTTGTCGGCGCTTTTTCATTGGCTGTTTTAGGAATTTTTATAATTTAAAAAGCAGAAACAACAACTATTAAGATTTTTTATATGTATAGACACAAAAAGAAATATATTTTTTTTCTCAGGGATATCACAAGTCAAAGAAACTAAATTTGTTTACGAGCCAGCTAAAAGATTCTGATTTTGGTATTTATTCGAATTGCTTTTACAAGAATAGTTCAAACCAAGTAGTGGCTATCAAAAAGGTTCTAATTTCAGATTTAAATTTGTTTCAAAATAATGATGTTGCAGTGTGTGGAAAAGTAATTGCAATAATTCCGGTCAAAGACGGTGTTCCGTTGTGAGTTTTTGTTTTTATGAAATTATGATATAAAACATTAAAAGTATATATATATTGGTAATAAAGTTTCATATTTTATTGATTTTGTTAAAGTTCTTTTTTCTATTTATGTTTTCAAAAAGTTCATTCATCATGATGGACGCTGCTTTAGCCTGCATTGCTGTAAGCGTATTTAATTTAGCTGTGGAAAAAGGATTAATAGTAGGAGATACTGTAGCCATTTCTAATCCCTTTGTTCAAGATCACAATGTGACTACAGAAACACAGGTACCTAATTAAATAAAACTTATCAAACACTAAGTAAAAATAACTAAACTATTTTATTGACAAAATCTTTATGCTTGAATATATGGACTCTATTACTAAGAAAATAATTCTATAAAAAAAATTATGGACTCTATCACTCAGTTTTTTATTTAATTTTGTGTTTAAAATTGTGTTAGTCCTGTTTAATTTTAGTGATACAGCAGTTTCAAGTTTTTATTTGTTAGTATCGCTTTACGTCAGTGTACACCGGTATAGAAATTAAAAAAGCATTTGGAGGAGGGTGTTTTAGAATTAATTCAAGAATAGAAATTAAAAAAGTATTTGGAGGAGGGTGATTTAGAATTGTGGCAAAATATTATTATCTTGAATATTAAATCTTAAGAAAATTATTTACACGTTATTATAATTTTTATATTAGATATTTTCTTACAAAAGTATCCGTGTGGAAACCCCCCTTGTTATGATGATTAACAAACGAAAGGTTGGACCTGAAAGATTGGCGTTTAGTGTGCTTACTGTCGCAAATGAGAGCGAGTAACCTACTGTTTCAAACGTTAATTTATCACCAAAATCAAACTTTCGCAAAATTTAGGCAGAAATAATAAATCAAAAATTAAAGATTTTTATTTCAACACTGTTATCCGATAGCTTCCATGATTTTATTCGATGACCTAAACAAATATTTTGACAGCAATATATGAAGTGGGGTAGAAAGTATTTTCTTTTCTAAAACAACGTGTACATATAACGTTTATTTATTTAAAAAAAAACTCTAAGTTTAAACAAGGTCTTTTTTCTAAAATTTTTGGTACTGTTATTTATTAAATGATATTTGTATTTTATAAAGAATTCAAAAATAGATTTTTACTATCTTATTCTGCGTTTTTGTTTGTGTTTTTTTTTTTTATTTAATTTTACTTTTTTAGCGTTTATTGTGTTCAGGTGAATGCATCCCAAAAACAACGCGGTAACTTCTAAGGCTATAAAATCTTAAATTTTTATTTTAAAATCAGAAATAAGAAGACCTTTTTTATAAACAAATGTTTCAGTAACAATTAAAATTAAAAAAAAAAACAAAAGCAACGATAAATCACATTTTTTTTACAGCCGTTTCAAATTAAAAAAATCAGATAAGAAAAGTTTAAATTTTTGAAATATTATCACAAAGTAGTAATCTTATAGATTAAGTTTGTAAATTCAATCTAGTTTGCTTTTCTTTTATATGCTATATGCATAAATCAAACTATTTGTATATTAGATAGAAATGAAACTTGAATGACATGTTGTTAGAAAAGATTTTTTAATTTTTTAAAGCTTCCTAACAACATGTTCTTAGGGAGCATGTTAACAACCTTACAACATGTTATTAACAAGTTGTTAGGAAGCATTAAAAAAATAAAAAAAAACTATTATGGAATAATTTTTTATACTAAATTTAACAAAATCTTAGTTGAATTAAAAAGATTTTAATTATCACAATCATTTCTTTCACATGCTTATAAAATCATTTCTAGATTTATATCATTTACTTTGCAGTTTGAGGCCGATATCTATTATCTTCGGCGGTTTAAGATGTTGTAATATGTATGAGAAAAGTACAGCAATATCTTTTGGAACTTAATATTTAAAGAGAATCCTTCAACTTTCCTTACAAAGGTCATATTAGGAATTTTTGGTCTCGCTAAAACATTAACAATCTCTTTAATGTAATTCAAGTTTGCACTTTTCTTGGTTTTTTCCAGGGTAAAGTATGACATGCCAACTCCCTGTTAGAAAATTATTGATCTCAGGTTCTGTTTGATTAGATTCATTTCAATCAACATCTGTCTTGTCATTACTTTTATTGGGAGAATCACAACAACTAACTTAAATGTCTTCTGATTTAGACAATAAAGATTCAACATCCTTTGAAACTTTATTTGATTTTTTGGATTTTTTCTGTTTCAATATCAATTGTTATATATATATTTGTATTAGTATAGTGCAGCCACAAATAGTCACAAGACTAATCCAAAGTAGCGTCCGTTATTGACCAACATTTTTGCGTACCGAAGTACTACTCAAGCGCTGATTTGGCGGTGGCGGGATTTATCGTTCAACAGTCCGGGTTTCAACTTTTCCTTTGACGCTCTAACCATCTGAGCTATCCCGCCACTATGAGTTTTTACACTCTGTTTCATCAACTAATTCATTTTACACTGTGTTTCATCAACAAAGACTCATCAGAAAATTTTTTTCTGGTAAGTCTTTGTTGATGAAACACAATGTAAAATGAAAAAAAATTTTTGTTAAGTGATTTTCTACTAATTTATAATTGCTCTGTTCTTTTAAGAACATTGAGCACTCTATTTTGTAGAATACATTTTTAAAATTGTTTAATATATATATATATATATATATATATATATATATATATATATATATATATATATATATATATATATATATATATATATATATAAAGAAAAACTGATCGTGGCAATTTTTCTGAGCAGAGCATGTTATTAGCAATCGACTCTGTAAAATTAAAGGAAATGTCACTGAGAAAAGCAGCTTTGACATTTAGTGTAAATAAAGATGCTTTACATAAAAGGATTCAGAGAAAATTAAAGAATTTAGAATCTTTTAATATTCATAAACGATCACTTGGTTCATTTAAAAAAGTATTGTCAGATGATACTGAAAATCAATTAGTTAGCTACATTAAAGAAATGGATTTAGTTTATTATGGATTGTCGATAAGTGACATTCAACAAATTGTCTTCCAGTACGTAGAAAAGTATAACATAGTTCATCCATTTAATAAATATAATGGTGTTGCAGGAAGAGATTTTGTAAGTGGATTTTTGAAGAGACATCCAGATCTTTCAATAAGAAAGCCTCAGGGGTTGTCTTTAAATTGTATTTATGGTTTAAACCGCAGTTCTGTGAATATTTATTTCAATAATATAGAAAATGTTATTAAAAAATATAAGTTTGAAGCTCATCAAATTTTTAACTGCGATGAATCAGGCATTACAACTGTACATAAACCTGTTAAAGTTATAACAAAAAAAGGGAAACATTGTATTTCTTCTGCAACAAGTGGTGAACGGGGTGTAACAACAACCGTTGTTTGTGCTATGAATGTAACTGGACTGTTTGTTCCACCAATGATGATTTTTAAGAGAAAGCGAATGAAATTAGAACTAATGGACCATGCTCCCTTTGGAACAATTGGAGGGTGCTCTAAAAATGGATGGATTACAACTGATCTGTTCATAGAGTTTATAAAACACTTTACTAAGTAAACTAGAGCTTCTATAGAAAATAAAATTCTTTTAATTTTAGATGGGCACAAAGCTCATACAAAAAACATTAGTTTGTTAGATTTTGCAAAGGAAAATGGGTTAGTTATTATAACCTTACCACCTCACACTTCTCATAAGTTGCAGCCACTTGATCGAAGCTTTTTTAAACCATTAAAAACTTTTTATAATATAGAATGTGGATCATGGTTGCGTGAGCATCCTGGAGGAAAATAACAACTGATCAACTTGGAGGTATATTCTCCAAAGCCTATAATAAGGCTGCCTCTGTAGAAATTGCCTGTTCTGGTTTTCGTACATCTGGAATTTATCCTTTTTGTCCAGATATAATTTCAGACACTGAGTTTAATGAAGACAAAAGATCTAATGACACCTTACATAAACCTAATAAAATCGAATCACAAGTTAATTTTAGCACCTTATTACCATTGCCCTCAGGATCTTCAGAAAATATTGATTTTGATATAACACCATGCTTCTCTAATATTGTACCAATTCCAAAGATCATTTTACCACCAAAACAAGGAGAAGAGTCACAGATAATAACAACATCACATTACAGAAAATCACTATTTGAATCCTCTGAAAAATTAAAAAAGTTAAAAGAACACAAAATAGAAAATAAAAGTGCATTAGGAAAGGGTAAAAAAAAAGTTAAAAGTTTAAGTGTTGAAGACTGGGAATGTTATGTTTGTAATGGTTTATGGAGTATGGCTGCAAAAGGAGAGAAGTGGAGTCAATGTTCAAAATGCACAACCTGGGCTCATTCGGACTGTTGTTCGTTTCAAAATACTGGTCAAGCAATATGTGATTTATGTGACTAGTGACAGTTTGATTATAGCTATAATATATTATAAATGTATTTATTTCCTCTTAAAGATCTGTTTTGTGTAATTTTATTTATTTAAACTACTAAAAAAAAAACTGTCTCATTTTGCCCCGCTATGCGGGGCAAAATGAGACAGGATAGGAGCTGTCAATAAATGATCCCAGGTGACCAAACCACTGCAGTTTTGCAACTCATATTTTGTAAGCTTTAAGTAGGATGGTTGAAGATTTGAAAAATATCAAGTTATTTTTTCAAAAGTTGTTAGCCGCATTAGATAAATTAGTGCTTAAGTGTCTCATTTTGCCCCTCGTTACGCTAAATATTTCATAAATTTTAAAGGTGTCATTTGCTTATCAACCTTTTTATTATGCAGACTTTTGTATCATCATCATCTGGTACCAGTGGTAAATTTACATGTATCTTTTCACTACAAGTATATATTCCATAAATTTTAAAGAGGGTTGTTTGTTTGTTTTTTGTATTTATTAGTGGCATCAACATCATGTAGCAATGGTAAAGTTATATCTTTTCAAAATAGTTTTTAAAAACCAATTAAATGATTTTATATTATGCCCTTTTTTAAGACGTGTTCTTAGGTGATGACAACTTTTTTTCCAATGATAATCTCACTGGTTCACTGATCACTGATCTTTTTAAAATTATTATAAATGACATACATTTATGTATAAGAAGATATATTTTTAAGTTCATTCAATATATATCTTTACTTTTGTATTCTTTAGTAGCATCATAATCAGGTAGTAATGGTTAGGTTATTTTTTATAATTTTTAAAATACTTATAACTGCTTAATTAAATGATTACATATTATAAACCACTCATGATTTAATTTAGTTATCTTGTTTTGTTTTGTAATCTTTAGTGGTGTCAACATATTGTACCCAATTGTAAGGTTTTATATTATATCTCTTAAAAGTGATTATATTTTGTACAACTTTGTTGATTAACGTTGTATAAATAAACTTTAGACATTGCTGTAATTATTTTTTAGTTTATTATAATAATTTTATTTCATATTATATGTCCTCAACCTATACATAATTTAACTAAACATATTCAGTTAAAATATTTATAAAGTGCATACTTATTATGCAGTTATGCATAATTATTGCTGTAACTATTTTTTAGTTTATTATAATAATTTTATTTTATATTATATGTCCTCAACCTATACATAATTTAACTAATCATATTCAGTTAAAATATTTATAAAGTGCATACTTATTATGCAGTTATGCACTTTATAAATATTTTAACTGAATATGTTTAGTTAAATTATGTATAGGTTGAGGACATATAATATGAAATCTTAATTCGAAACGTACGTGGGAAATTCTAAGAGAACTCACTGGCATGCAGAAATTAAAAACGAGCTCATTGCCTAAAACTATTAAGATTAATGAAGAAACATCATTTGATCAAATTGCAATAGCTAACAAATTAAATTAATATTTTGTATCAGTTGGTCCTAATCTGGCCCAACAAATTCCTATCTTGAAAAACAAATTGAATAATTATGCTTTTCCAATAACTTCGTTCTTAAACTCCTTTGAGTTATCCTTTGAGGAATTTGAACTTTCTTTTAAAAAGCTTAAATCTAATAAATCAGTTGGTTATGATGATATT